AATATTGATTCACCTTTTGTGTCCGAGTCAACGTTTTTGCGAAGAGCAGTTCTTCGTGGATTTCTTGTTCTATAACAAAACGAACATATGTTTTTAATAATGCTTCATAACCAGGCAAAGTTGACTCATCTAGTTGTATGGAGAAATAAGTTGTTTGAAAATAATTACACAAATAACTTTTAACATCATGACTAATTTCATCAATGCGTCTTTGAACTGTATTGTTGCTTAAAGGAATTTTTTCAGTAATCATATGCAGGTATATGTAAAAAAGTTTTTAAGACCTCTTGAATGGCTGGCAAAATTAGCTGTTCCCCGATAGTATGAGGCTTCCTGATTTTGCTATGAGCAGTGAGATATTGTAAGACGCCCGCAAGTCATCATCGTCTTTTTTTAACGTGGTACCAAACATACTATCCATCGTAGGTCCCTTCTGAAATTTTTCTTTCAGTGTTTGAAGGTATTTTAAATGTTTACGTGTTTTTTCAGGATAACACCTTTTCAGATGATCTTTTAGCTTAGATGGTTTCATAGCATCGTTGCTTAAAACTTTGTTGCATAAAAGACATATAGGTAGGTTTTTGTCCGGCAATGATGGAATGAAGCCGAACTTCAAATAATCAATGCTATATTGCCTACATTTCCTTTTAGAATCAGCCATAATTAATAGCAGTTAAATTATAATATATAATATATAACTTATATATTTGTACAAAAATTAATCGATTTATGAATTAGTAAAATTTAGAAAAATGGCAAACGACGTATGATCAATAATCGGCTGTCACGAATGAACTAAATTACTAAACGCAGAGTAATGTATTATATTCCAACCATCGCCGTTGACCGATATCATGTTTATCGTACTTATTAGTAATTAGTGAGACCTAAAAATAAATGACTGAACGTGTAATATTTTGATTTTATCCTAATATTCCGATATTCAACTTCGACTCCGTAAGTCGCTATCGACAATGTTCGTTTTAACAATCACTATCGTTCGCATTGTCACACACATATTATTAAATGTAAATATCATATCAATTTTTGTAAAAATTACGACCTGCATTTTCGACTTATAACTCTCGTGGACCCCTATTTACACATGATGCACCCCCAATTTTAATTTTCGTTGATATAGACCCCTTACAGGTCAGAATCGACCCAAGGGGGTCGATATAGACCACTTTGAGAACCTATGCTATAAACGGGTGTGATCTTGCGTTTGAAACCCACACTCAGTGTAACAATATTATGTACTTAGTGGAAATCCAAACATCATTCGTTATTTTTCGTTAAACGGCGTGACGTTCGACAATTGGATCCCAAAAGTACCAAGAGATAGGTATATACATTATAGTACGCATATTACACCAATACTCTTTCACCTGAATAATGTCTCAAAATACAAGACGACTATGCTACATCTTTATTCCGGGAATTCAATAAACAACCATTCGGTCATCACCGTACAACTTTTACTCGTAATAATGATTAAATGTACCTATAATAGACTGTCGTAGTTGGTAACCCTATAGTAATAATCGTCGATTTCCATATACAATTAATACTTATAATTTGATTTAAGAACTAATAGCGAACAGATGGTAGTTTATATTTACGATAATCCATACTGCATATACACTTTAATACATAGTCCTAGTTTAATTTAATCTATAAGGTGTTAAATCGTTGACCGATGATTGCTAGTGAAGTTTAAAGTTTCCGCTTCATTATATTAACTCGGTTTAAATGTTTTGGAGATTTTACACATTGCATGTATAACATCATTTTTCAATGTTCATATGCTGTGTTTCTATTGCGTGTTGAATAAATTGAATAACGTGTGGTATGAACACTACACAGTACATTTTTTTTAGTATGCAATATTTATAAGGCGCTAGGATGTGGAAACACTCATGTTGGACGTAGTATTTTCGAGTCTAATAACGACAGTACTGCTATAAAATATGCTCACGGTGTGCAATAGAAAATAAAAATACTTAGAATGTTTAGTGCCAAAACTATGAAGGCAGCTCATCTAATTTATAGTTTATCCCTTAATTGGTCCAAATAAATTTAAAAATAAGTCTCTTGAGATTTTTAAACCATTCGAGTGGGGGAAATCGTTACAAAATATTATATGATTTAACTGTATTCCACTATATTATGTACAATAAACATTCGTTGTACCAAACTAGACCATTTGAAACTGGATATATGGATTAATCAGTATGAGATTGAAATCTCTGTCTGTTAAAAATATCATATACACAAAATTTATAATAAGAATTAAAAATTGAATCAGAATTTACAAACCATACTTTTATATCGTACAGAAGAAAAACAAGCAGTTTTATATGGGATCTGTTTGATCAGTTCCTAATGTATACATAGGGCATTTCCGGGGTATCTATAACAGATGACTCGCATTGCATTTTTCGAACGCGTCATTTTTGCTTTATATTGATTTTGGTAAATACCTATGTAGTAGAATAAAAATGGAAAATAAAATAAAGGAGCCTCACGTTGGGGCCAATTGTAGTAGAACCAAAAGTAGAAGGGTAGAAAGTGGATGGTAGCGGGGTAGACAACGTGAGGTGTGTGTGTGTGTGTGTGGTTATTCGATCTTTACTCTACTACTAAATTATTTCGTGATTTTATAGGATATTAGTTAACACGTTGTGATTGGAATAGAAATATAATTAATATCACTTACCTCATTTGAAGCAGGTCGATGTTCTAAGTTGTGGATATTTTCAGCAGTCTGAATTTTTAATCGTGGTTCGATGCTTGATATTATTAAAAATTCTATTAGACTATTTGAGACTTTATTAAGCTCTATTTGAACTCTTACATTGTATTGATGGATAATGGAGTTTGAAGAAAAGTGTAGATAGGAAATTGAACGATAGGTTTTATAAATAATAATAAGCGGCTTTTAATTTGATATAATCATAGATGCGAATTCAAATCAATGAGACCGCAATAGGTGTATTACAATAAGCGCGACTTAATGAAAAGAAGATGAGAGAGAAAAGTACTAATTATTGTTTAAGGTTTTAAAAAAGGGGTCTGTGGTACTGATGGGATACGTTGTGAGCCTTGCGTGCATGAGAATACTGATTCGGCATGATGCCATGCGACATCATGCATCTGAAAGGACCTAGGAGCCCTACTGGTCGTATGAATGGAAATAGACTGGGACTGGGAATGGGAATGGCACTGGGAATGGCATGGCACTGAGACTGGCTCTGGGACTGGGAATGGTCATGAGACCGAGACTGGCGATGGGACTGGTTGTGTGTGCCCGTAATATAGGTAGCAGGTGATGCCTCTTCTTCAGGTGTCTGTAGCGCAGCATTGTGCGTGGCAGGTAGTTTTAGAGATTCGCGCATTCGCGCATGCCACCGTATGCTCGCTTTGTGACGCATGTATTGTTTGAAGTAATAGTGGGGTTTTGATGAATTTGACTTGATTTATGTCTGACATATTTAATAGCTTTGTTATTGATGATTTCATGATATTGTGGCTAGTTGCGTCATCTCCGTTGGCTGCGCTACAGTCCCAATCGCCTTGTTGTTGTGGAGATGCCGATATCTTGCAATGGCGGTCTCATCAAACGTTTGATGTTGTTTGTGATATGTAGATTTTTAATTTGTCTGGATAGTTTTTTTGTGTCTGATTGAAGGAAATAATATTTTTTTATATTTCTGTGGTTATCATTGCTCTGCTGTCGATGCAGTTTTAATTATATGCGGCGTTATCCTTTTATTTGGCGACTCGTGTTTTGACGGATATGGGTTTCGGTACCTTGATATCTTAATATTATTTATGATCAAAGAGAAATAATATTATTTTGAATTTTCGTATTTTTTTATCGTTTTATTGTTGATAGTATAGTTTTTAATTGTATGTGGTGATATCTTCTTTGGCGGCTTGTGTTTCGACGGATATGTGTTTCAGTAGCTTAATATCTTTATGATCGAAGACAAATAATATTATTTTGGATTTTCGTATTTTTTATCGTTCCATTGTTGATAATATTATTTTTAATGTTGCGGTATCTTTTCTTTGACGGCTCGTGCTTAGATAGATATGGGTTTCGGTAATTTAATTGTGGGAAGGTAAATTATTTTATATTTAATTGATAGCGCTTATGTTTATTACACCCCTATATGGTCATCATTGGCGTTGATTCACATTGTGTATTTATTTATTCATAATGTAGAAATATAATATATTACACCTATCTAATTGCATATATGTCCTGAGATTGTCATTGTAATAAATTATTTTTAATCGATTATTTTTTCTACGTCTAGTTCATTAGGTCTGCTTCTTTCTATATCGAAAACACCAATATTACAAAGTCTTTTTTGAGACGTTTCTGGTGGTGTGTTGTAAGTTGAAGCAGGAACATGGTCTTATTGGTCTTCATTAATGAAGAGTGAAAAGAAATTTGAAGATTACTGAGGTGCTGGAGTGATGTCATCTTCCTGGCACCCTGAATTTAAGTTCCATGTTCTGAAATTCGTTATAAGTTACTATGAAAGTTATCGTAGTTACATTTCGTAACAATAAGGTTTCATAATCTTATGAAAATGTGTTACAAAAATCTAGATCTTGGGGTGCTGGGGTGACGGAGCAGTGACTTTGTCTAAATCATCTATATTTATCAACTGATATAAGCGACTCCTGAGGAATTATGTTTTACATCTTCAAGTATTTTCACTCAAAAAAATAAAATGTTATTAATTTAAAAAAAATAAACTGGGTCACTTAGTAATAGCACTGATGTTTAAGACACCTAACCACGCAAAGCAGCTCGCTTCGCTAGAGAACAACCCATGTTAAGGCTTTAATAATTTTGATGTTCAATATGAATTGTCGTATTTTTATATCGTGAGATTATGTTATATGTTGCAACGATAATCTTATCTGTCACCGTCCGTCAGTCGCGATACTTGTGTCATAACGTACGAGTCGCTAATGCAAGCGACTCAAACTTATAATAAATTTAAACATTAATTAACTAAAAGTGCGTATATTGTTTCTCATGTCTTTTTAAATACAGTCCACACCTAACCGAAACATTTTGGTCCATCGATCCGGATGAGCAACCAGTCATTGCCATAAAAAAAAAACAGTATATGCATACCTGTGTCGAAGCAGTAACACGTGTAAATTTATAGCTTTAACCCATAAAAGTGACTAAATGCCGTGTAATATTTCAAACAAGTGAAACTTAATTTTATTAAATTACATTTAAATATCAATATAATATACAAACAGCAACACGAGTAAATTTATAGCTTTAACAAATAAAAGTGACTAAATGCCGTGTATTATTTAATCAAGTGGAACTTAATTTTATTAAATTAAATTTAAATATCAATATATACAAATGCTGATCAAAGGTCTCAGTAAAGCTGTCAATAAGAACAAAAATCAAAATTACAGTATGTATATTCGGGTGAGATCTTTCTAAATTGTTATAATTTTATATTAATATATAGTTAATTTAAGTATATAAGTCTGAAATCCCACAAAACAAGTGTGACGATAACACCAGACTTAAAATTGCAATTGTTAGGATTTCCCAAGCAATACAATTATCAAAGGAAAGGTAACCAACGTCAATGTTGTAATTTATTACCTTCTAAGGATAAGAAAATATGGCAGAGCTTAGTAGATTGATTAGTCGTCGCGGCCAGGTAAAAGGTCAAATAACAAGGTGTGTCACATTCTTAAAAACACCACTTGACAACGTAAATGTTAACATGGTAATAGGAAGAAAAGAAAAGCTAGAAGAATCTTGGCAAGATTTTCGTCAAATACAGGCGGCAATTATTGAAATAGAAAATAGTCAAGAACACACGGAGTATGAATATGAGGTAGAAAACCTATATTTCGAAGCATTAACATTGGCCACGACCTTTATCAACAATAAACAATACAATGCAAGACAGAATACAAGTCAACTACAATTGGATAATGGCGAGCGTCAAAGCTCACATCAATCCGCAGAGACTTCAGTGTCACAACAACCGTCATCAATAGTAAAATTAGCGCCGTTAAACGTACCAGTATTTTCGGGAAACTACGAAAATTGGACGTCATTTCATGATATGTTTATAGCTCTTATACATACTAATACATCATTAATGAACGTTCAAAAATTCTTTTACTTGAGGTCATCACTTGAAGGAAATGCTCTTCAAGTAATCAAGTCACTAGAAACGACATCCGAGAACTATGAAACGGCAAGGAAAACATTAGTAGATAGATTTAGAAATAAACGATTTTTAATTCAAAACCATATAAAATCTATGTTCGATTTAGAGCCGGTGTACAAAGAGTCGGCACTAAAACTACGGCAATTAATAGATTCGATACGCGGTCACATTAAAGCGCTCGAGTCACTGGGTCAAGAACCAAAAACTTGGGGATGTTTATTAATACATGTTATTGTCATAAAATTAGATGCATTTACAACCAAAGAATGGGAGACCCAGATTAGCGAAACAAATGATGTACCTGTGGTTGAGCGATTATTAAAATTTCTAGAAAAACGAGTACGCGTATTAGAAGCAGTAGAAGCATCAAAACATATTAATGGTCGTCAACAACAATTAAAAAAATCTACGTCAATATTTACGGCAGCGACAATGATAGCAAAATGTTATGTATGTAAGCTAAGTCACGCAACCTATAAGTGTCCAACACTTTTAGCATTATCAATTTCTGATAGAATTAAACGTGTAACTGAGTTAAAATTATGCAAAATTTGTTTAAAACAACATTATAATAAAAAATGTAATATGCGTAATTGTCCTAAGTGTAATAAATCACACAACTCATTATTGCATATCACTTTTAATTCAAACACAGAAACTACTAACGACACTGCAGAAATCAATAATAGCGATAACAAAGACAACAATAACGAACCGTGTACAACAATTAGTGCTCATGCGTCTCAGATAAGTCATGGTCAAATTTTGTTATCGACGGCTGTAGTACGTGTTGTCAATAAAGCTGGTGTTAGTATTTTATGTCGAGCATTATTAGATTCCGGATCGGAAAATAATTTTATACGTGAAGAAATTGCCCAAAGCTTAGGCATAAAGCGGACACCTATTAACTGCTCGGTAATCGGTATAGAAGGATCTAAGCACGTAGCTACCTCTTCTATTATTATACATTTAAAATCACGCGTATCAGATTATCAAACAGACGTTGAATGTATTGTTTTACCAAAACTTACAAATAATATTCCAGTAACACCTATTAACCCATCATCATTAATTATTCCTGATATTGAATTTGCCGATCCGTCATTTGCCACACCACAAAGAATTGATATAATTATCGGTGCCTGTTTGTTTTATGAAATAATTTGTAATCAACAACAGCGACCGTCAATTAATGGTCCTATATATCAGAAAACAAAATTAGGATGGGTAGTGTCTGGACAAGTGAACAAAAATATATCAAATAAAAATTGTGTCTCATTATTTTCATCAAGCGTGCAAATAAACAAAACAATTGAAGAACAGATTGCAAGATTCTGGCGCCTTGAGGAATGTTACACACAAGATACTTACACGCTTGAAGAAAAGATGTGTCGTAGTCATTTCGAAAACACAACAACTCGCGGTCCTGATGGTAGATTTATTGTACAATTACCATTTAGAGACTCCTCGGTAAATTTAAGTGACTCATATACCACAGCATTACGCCGGTTCTTTGCACTAGAAAAACGACTAAGTTCAAACCCTCAGCTTAAATCTGATTATACGAAATTTATGCGAGAGTACTTAGATTTAGGACATATGGAAGTTATTGAAAATATCGATATTAACAAAGATCAAAATTATTTTTTACCACACCATGCTGTAGTGAAAGAAAGCAGTTTAACCACTAAGCTACGTGTTGTTTTCGACGGATCCTGTAAAACTACCTCAGGATTAAATCTTAATGATGTCCTATTAAAAGGCCCAAATATACAGCAAGAATTAGTTTGCATACTAGCTAGATTTCGTACTCATCATTACGCGTTATCAGCTGACATAACGAAAATGAACAGGCAAATATGGATCGAATCGAAGCATAGGCGTTATCAAATGATAATCTGGAGCGAAGAAGTTAACCAGCCAATTAAGATTTATCAACTTAAGACTGTTACCTATGGTACGACCCCGGCGTCATATTTATCAACTGCGTGTTTAACGAAGTTAGCAGACCAAGAAATACACACGTATTCAGTAGCATGCAGTGCTATCAAAACAGATTATTGCGTAGATGATTATCTTGGAGGTGCGAGAACTATATCAGATGCCATATTATTACGCGACCAATTAATAAATGTACTAAAACGTGCGGGTTTTGAATTAAGGAAGTGGGCGTCAAATGAACCTGAACTATTATCTAACATACCCAATACCGATAATGTTTCTATGCAGGTACTCGATAATGAATACGATTCCGTAATAAAGTTACTGGGTTTATATTGGAACACGTCATTGGATGTCTTTCAATATAAGGTCAATGAACTTCCGGAAGATAATACACTTATTACCAAACGAAATGTATTATCAACAATAGCAACTATATTTGATCCACTAGGTCTTATCGGTCCGGTAGTTATGCATGCGAAATTAATTATGCAATCATTATGGCAATTACACTTAAATTGGGATGAATCATTACCCGAAACGTATGCGAGTGATTGGATTAATTTCAAATCAAATTTGCAACACGTAAATCAATTAAAAATACCTCGTAAGATTATTAAATACAAAGATGTTGTTAGCATCCAAGTTCATGGTTTTGCTGATGCGTCAGTTAAGGCTTACGGAGCATGTATTTATATAAGATCAGTTTCAAGCACGGGCGAGTGTGATGTTCAATTATTATGCGCTAAATCCAGAGTAGCGCCTCTAAAGGTAATCTCACTGCCTCGGCTGGAATTATGTGCTGTCTTATTATTAGCTCGTTTAGCAAACAAATTTATTCCGAAACTTAATATTGACGTTGATAGAAAATATTATTGGACAGACTCTTCTATTGCTCTTTCTTGGATATCATCACCATCAACTAAATGGAATACTTTTGTATCTCATCGTGTTGGAGAAATCCAAGACCTCACAAATATATCAGAATGGGGGCATGTAGCAACGTTATTTAATCCAGCTGATATATTATCACGAGGTTGCACACCGCAACAATTATGTGATGACATTTTATGGTGGAATGGGCCTGGCTGGCTAAAATCGAAATCAACTGATTGGCCGACATTTGACCGCACAAATTTTGCTGCAACAAATATACCTGAGCAAAGGAGAATGATTACGGCATTACCATCCGTAACATATTACGACAATTTTATAATTAATAGATTTTCGTCGCTATCCAAATTAATCAGAGTCGTTGCGCTCATTTATCGATTTATCCACAATGTAAAATTACACATATTTGACAGAAACACGGCTATCGACAGAAAATTATCTGGCGTAATATCAGCAGAAGAATATGCGAAGGCTCGCATTGTCTTAATTAAAATAGTGCAGTTACAATGCTGGTCACACGAAATACAATGTATACGAGATAAAACACCGATACCGCGTAAAAGTAATCTTTGTCAATTACGGCCATATATTGATGAAACCGGTATTCTACGGGTAGGTGGTCGATTAAGAAATGCTATCGCATTAAATATATTTCAACGTAATCCTATATTATTACCACATCGTAGTGTATTTACCAAATTAATATTTGAAAACGAACATCGTAAGATTATGCATGGCGGACCTCAAGCTCTGTTAGCCGCTGTTCGTTCTACATATTGGCCTATAAACGGCAGACATATCGCTCGGAGTATTGTACACAAATGCATACCATGTTTTAAGTTAAAACCCGTCGTATTTCAGCCTATTATGGGTGATTTACCTAAAGATCGCGTAACTCCGAGTCGCCCTTTCTCAAAATGTGGTATAGATTATGCAGGTCCTATAATGATTAAAAGTGGTCTACGACGTAATTCTCCACTTGTTAAAGGCTACATATGTGTTTTTGTTTGTTTTGCAACAAAGGCTGTTCACATTGAATTAGTCTGCGATCTTACAACAGAGTCGTTCTTAAACGCATTGCGTAGATTTGTAAGTCGCCGAGGAATTGTATCCGATATTTATTCCGACAACGCTACGAATTTTGTTGGCGCTAATCGTCGTTTACTTGAAATTCATGATTTACTTTATTCTGAGAAAAATCGATCGATGTTAAATAGTGCCACAGCCGATATTGGAATAAAATGGCATTTTATACCACCACGTTCACCTAATTTTGGCGGTTTATGGGAGGCTTCTATTAAATCAATCAAATATCATCTTTATCGAACGTTAGGCAATGCATCCTTAACTTATGAAGAATTAAACACTATTTTAATACGAATTGAAGCATGTTTAAATTCGAGGCCAATAACACCCCTCTCAACAGATCCCTCAGACTTATCCTATCTTACTCCGGGACATTTCTTAATTGGAGACTCTCTTATCGCTATTCCTGAACCAGATTTAAATAATACACCTATGAATCGCTTAAATAGATGGCAACAAATTTCACGCTTGACGCAACAAATATGGTCACATTGGTCAAAACAATATTTGAATCAACTTCAGGAAATTAAAAAATGGAAGCAGAACAAGGGCAGGTCAATCAAAGTGGGCACAGTAGTTATTATACGTGAAGATAATTTACCTCCACTTCAATGGCGTATGGCAAGAGTTAAAGAAGTACATCAGGGGAGTGATGGTGAAATCAGAGTGGCTACTGTAGCAGGTCAAGGTTGGGAATGTAAAAGAAGCATCCGCAAATTATGTCCATTACCTTTTGACGATAATTAAAAAAAAAAAAAAATCTATGTATTTAATTATATTAAATTATTTAAATTGTATTATTATTGTATTTTTTTTTAGATGTTTTTCATTTATCGTATTATTTATTTATTGTATAATATCATTAGCATTTATTGTATTATTTATTTATTGTATAATATTTGCATTTATTGTACTATTTATTTGAAACTTAGCGTTCCAAGGCGGCCGGTATGTTAAGGCTTTAATAATTTTGATGTTCAATATGAATTGTCGTATTTTTATATCGTGTGATTATGTTATATGTTGCAACGATAATCTTATCTGTCACCGTCCGTCAGTCGCGATACTTGTGTCATAACGTACGCGTCGCTAATGCAAGCGACTCAAACTTATAATAAATTTAAACATTAATTAACTAAAAGTGCGTATATTGTTTCTCGTGTCTTTTTAAATACAGTCCACACCTAACCGAAACAATTGTAATGGTTTGTCTTTAGGTTTTATAATATACTGTATAGTAATTAATGAATCGTCTTGGCACAAAAAATAGTGGTCTTTTTCTTTCGTAACATCTATGGTGGTCTTAGTACATTCAAAAATACATTTTTGATAAAGTTTATCTGAGATGGCTAAAAATGGAAGGCCTTGATGGTAAATTTCTTTGTATAATATGGGAGAAGGTGAAATTAATTGCAAATTTTTATTGATTAACTGTTGTTTTTCATTTATTCGATTGTAAACTTCTTGCAGAGGGTATTTTATGCATTTAACAGATTTTTTTATATATTGTAAGTAGTTTTCGTACCTAAATGAACTAAAGTTATCAAGTGGCCCATGCAATAATGTAAAGAAGGGTAAATGAATTAAACTATGGACATTATAACTTATATAATGATGGCCATATAATAAGCCATAGCTTTTCACAAACTGTACTAATAATTCTGACGCTTTAGAATTATATTTATAACAAGTATTAGGTGAAACTAAAATTCTAGTTGCAAATACCAATAATAAAAAATGTTTGTAAAGTTCAGGTTTTAATTTATCTTTTAAAACAATTGCTCCTGAATATAAAACAAAACTACGCAATTCAGTAGCCTTCCAGTACTCTATATCATCTATTGGCCGTGGTAATCGACAAAACTCTGATGGCACATATGGCCTTAACATTTTTAAATCATTATTTATTCCTTCTTTACTTTCATCTGTCAATCTTATATCCCTTTTCCCTTTAATCCAAAATTCTATTAAACGTTTAGTGACCCCAAGACACACGCAATGCATGTAGTCTAAGCAAACAACATTAGTTATATTAATAGGTAATTTAAGCAAGGGGGAATCACCTTTGTGATATTCTTCATTTGATTTATTTCTAAAAGTTTCATTTGTTCTTAATGGAGCATTAGTTCCAATTAAAGCAACTCGGCGTTCTATATAATCTCCTTCTTCAATGCAGGAAGTACACCCAAAATAAGCATTAAAATGTTTAACGTCAAGTAAAAAGCTCTTTGCAGGGGCGTCACAAACTATATTAGAAATATTAACACTTATTAATGTTCCATTCACATTTAAACCATTTCTTAATACTTCTAAAGTATCGATAATAAACGGGTGTAAAAACTCTTCAATCGAATGTGGTTTTTTAAATCCATGAAATATACCAATGGGAAGTACATTATTGGGTAATTCTTTAAAATTTAAAATAGAAACCAATATGGGCCATAGTTGACTTTTACTACTCTTAGCTATTGGTAGACCGTCAATGTTAATTCCTATATTTATTATATTATNTACTTTATAAATTTAAGTATAATACATAGATATATAAATAATAGCAATATGTTTTAATTGTTTAATAGACCATTTGTATGAAATGTATAAAATTAATTAATATTTAACTTTAATGTATTAAGTTAGGGGTACTCTTAAATTTTAAAATTTTAAAAATTACTTGTTCATCTTGAGGTGGTTGGTAAGCTGAACTTGACTGAACATAATATGGTATTTGATCCACTGAAGATTTCTTACTCATTTGATCCGATAATAATGATGGTAATGTTTTATTTGGTTGCATTGTGCATTGTTTTAGTAAGGGTGAACTATTCACTATTTCTTAATCCTAAATGTATATAAGTGCCATTTGATATATTGATAATTTCTTTAGTTTTAGGAGTGTGCATTAAAGTTCTGACATCTTTAGGAACTGTCATGCCTACACTTTGCAATATAGTTAAAAGTGAGTTAGCAGCATTATGAGAAATTTTAAAATTAAGAATCCAATTGCGAAGTTTGTCACAAATATCATTATTATTATCAATTAAAATTTCATCTAAATGTGGCAATACAAGATTAGATACGATTAAATTTGGTATTTCGGGAAGATGAAGACTTGCATTCTCAATATGATTATTGATATTTTCAACACTACTGTTATAATCACAATTAAGAACAGCAGCATTTATAGATGGAAATATTGTTTCGGTTGTATCAATGGAATTTATATTTACTACAGATGGAATTAAACTGGTCGGCGGTAATGATGTTTTGGACATAATAAATTTTCCTTTGCCGACTTGACAATTCTTCTGAAATGTCTGGAAGATATTGACCCTAATTTCTGGCATTTGGTCTGAAACCCCATAAAAACATATTAAGGAAATATAAATATATACACATTTTAAGAGGTTTTAGTATTTAATAGACACATAATATAATATATTTTTTGTATTTCTATTAATTTAATTTTTATAAAACAATTTAAATATTGAATTACATTTAAAATTATATGTATACAAGTGTTCACTTTTCACTATACTATTGTCAAATTACTTTTGTTTAACTAAAAACTAATTGAAGAAAATTTACTGTCCCAATTAAAATTTAAAAGAGATGTTCAATATGAATTGTCGTATTTTTATATCGTGTGATTATGTTATATGTTGCAACGATAATCTTATCTGTCACCGTCCGTCAGTCGCGATACTTGTGTCATAACGTACGCGTCGCTAATGCAAGCGACTCAAACTTATAATAAATTTAAACATTAATTAACTAAAAGTGCGTATATTGTTTCTCATGTCTTTTTAAATACAGTCCACACCTAACCGAAACA